AATATTACTTTGGTTTTTCATGTTATTATTTTTTCTCTGTGATTTTGACATGTGAATTTCTTTTGTAGTTTCTGATTCTTGCGTGAGACTCAGGCCTTCAAGTTTAAGTCTGCTTCTTTTCATGAACTTTGTGTCTTTGTGGTTTACTTTTTGGGCATGAAAAGCTTGTTTGTCTAAGCTTCCAGTTCTCTCTTTTGATTTTATATTAGAGTGGCAGGATTTATTTTGTCTTCAGGAATTCCCACAGAGGCCCAATTCAGATGAGGGTCAGATGATTTCAGGCTTTCTCCTAAGGTCTGGATCCCTCCAGGAACGATTTTCGCCTCAGGAATTTGGGGGTTGGACTGGCCTGGGAGCCTGGCCCAGGAAAGATGCTGGTCTAGGGCAGCTGGTGGCCCTGCCACCCAGAGATGCAAAGGCAGATGGAGCGGGAAGAGGCCCCAAGAACTCCCGGGGACAGCACTGAGGAGCTGGGTTGGTCTGGATGCAAAGGATCAGGAAGAGGAAAGGTCAGCTCCTGTGTCCCAGAAAGAGGCTGGCAGGTGGTGCAGGCCCAGGCAAGCAGAGGGAGGTGAGGGTGGGGCCAGGTCCAGAAGCAGTGCTCCTGGGGCCCAAGGAAGGCACTAAGTTGGTCTGGGTGAAAAAGATCAGGAAGCAGTATTGGTTCCCCAGGTGTCTGGGGACCCAAGACTAGGAATGGCGCAGGGCCCAACAGGAGAGAGGGGTCGGGGAGATGTGAGGGTGAATGAGGCTGGGGGAGTCAAGGCGCGGAGGTCGCAATGGATTTACCCCGGAGAGAGGCCTGCAGGTAGAGCTCTTTTTTAAAGGTAAAAATTCATTCAATTTTATGTCTTACAGGGCTTATACTGAGTTCAATATTGTATAACTATTAATTCAACAGTGAACCTAAAAATTTTATAGCCACTTTTGAAAGAGATGTATCTTTGCTCTGGAAACTGTTAATGAGTATGTTAAAGCTGTAATGAAATGCTTCTTCTAAAAAAAAAAAAAAAGTGTGGTGGCCGCTTGTAATTCCAGCACATCGGAGGTAGAGACAGGTTCCTGGGGCAAGCTAGACTAGCCAGAATATGCGAGCTCTGAGTTTAGCAAGAAGTCCTGCCTTAATACAGTGGAGAGCAGTCTAGGAAGACACCCAACATTAACTTCAGGCCTACTATTAATATACAATGTATGTAACTCTTTGAGAGTTTGGACTATAACCTAAAACTGAATTGGTGAATTATGCAGGAGTTCCATTTTTAATTTTAAGGAACCTACACACTGGTTTCCATAGTAGAGTTCCATTTCAAACACTTTCACCAACAGCATATAAAGGCTCTTGTTTCTCTGCATCCCTGCAATCCGTGTCATTTTATAGTTCTTTGATAGCAACCCACACCAAATTTTCAAAAGCTATTTATGAAGGTTGCCAAGGCCTTGCCTAAATTAAACGCTACATACAAAGTCTTCTAAGAAAAGTGCTTTTGATGCCTATTAAAATGTGATCCTGGGCTAGGGAGGTAGCTCAGTGTGTAAAATGCTTGCTGTGCCAACAGGAGACCTGAATTTGGATCCCTGGTACCTGCACATGGCAGCATGTTTCTGTAACCCTTATGCTAGCCAGTCAGTCCAGTTGAAAAGGTGAGCTCCAAGGTCAGTGAGAGAAAAAATAGAGTGGAAAGTGATAAAGGGAGACATCGGATGCCAACCTCTGGCCTCTACACAGGCACATGAGGGTGAGTGCACCCCCACACACGTGCACATATATGCACACACACACCCTTATCTTAAAAGACTAGCAACATTTTGATATTACTTTTTCTACTCAAAGTTTCTGAATTTTTTAGAGTTTCTAGCAAGTGAAACAACAGCACACTGAAAGTGGCACAGAAAGAAGAAAATTTTAAAGTTACATTTTCATGTCTTGCTTAAAATGCCACCCATATGTGTATCTCCCAGAAAAAGCAATATGACTACCAAAAGACCAATTATAGGGTGAATACATAATTTATTTCATTAATTTTGGTCCCACTACATGGGGAGAACTGGGAATCCTACCAAAGGGAGCAAATGGAGTAACTGGCTTAGGTAGAAGCTGAGAACTCTCATATGCAGTGGTGACATGAGGGGAGGAAAAGTGAGTGTGAACTGAGCCATTGGAAGGTCGAGAAGAACAGCGGTCTTTACCTTGTTCTTCTGGAATGACTCGTGTGGCTGAGTTTTCCTCTACTTTTTTTCTAGCTTCTTCTTCTTCTTCTTTAGACCACTGCATGTGATCCCTACAAAAAAATATAAATTTATATAAATATAAAACATGCTTTACAGTTGAGTAAGGCAGAGATGATGGGACTGGGCACTCCATCTTGCCTTCTAAATCAAGGCAAACACAAGGGATACAAACTGACTCCATGCCAAATGGATCAGTTTTGTGTTGGATGTTCCTCTTGATGGTGCTAAGTGCCACCCTGCAACTCCTACGGGTCTTCTGTCTAAATCTGGCTGAGGGATTAGCCAGCACCTATGAGAAACAGCTGGTGAAGCTGTATCCTCAGAACACTCCAGCACATGACTACCTGGGGCCTGATGAGGTGCCGGTTTCCTCTAAGGGTGAACCTACTTGCCTGTTTGCTAACTTTTGAATAGGGCAATCTTTAATAGTGTTTTAATGCTACTTTTATAACACATTCTAATTCTACTGCCAAAGAGATGCAAGTTTGTGTGTGTGTGTGTGTGTGTGTGTGTGTGTGTGTGTTTGTGTGTTTTCCTGTGTAGCATATGGAGGTCAGTATCAGGAGTCTCCCTCCATCATTCTATACTTCTTTTTCTGAGCCAGGGTTTCACACTAAATATGAAGCCACCAGTTTTGCTAGACTGGATGACCAGCAAGCCTGTGTCCACTCCATCCCATCCCCAGCTTACAGATGTGTGCAGCCACACACTTTTAACATGGTGTTAGGGGATCCAAACTTAGTCCTCATGCTTGTGTGGCACACACTCTACTCATTGAACCATTTCTTCAGCACCTAGACCAGTTTTAAAGTATTTAGTTCTTACTCTAAATTTTTAAAGTAATTTTTGGTTTGTTTTGCTTGGCTACCTTCATTTTAAAAAATAGATTAATTTAAATGAAAGAATACTATTTATGCTGTGTTTTTTTTTTTTTTTTTTTAATTTGAGATAGGTCTTGCTGTGCAGTTGACACTGGCCTCAAACTCACAATTCTGCCCCAGCTTCCCAAGTGCTAGGCTTAGAGGCATGTGCAACCATGCAGCCAAATGACAGAGTTCCTGATAAAGGATATAAAAGGATGGTTTTTCTTTTCTTTTAAAAAAATTTTTATCATTTTTATTTTATGTGTATGAGTGCATTGCCTGCATGTACGTAAGTATACCTGTGTTGTGCAATATACCTGTGGAGGTCAGAAGAGGGCATTGGATCCCCTGGTACTGGGATTATGGAAGGTTGTTAGCTGCCATGTGGGTACTGGGAACTGGACCCAGATACTCTATAAGAGGAGCCAGTGCTCTTAATTGGTGAACCATTTCTCCAGCTCCAGGATCATTTTTTAAAAAATCTCTCACTTTCTATAATAATATTTAGTTTCTGAGTTTATTCTCCCTGTATGAGAAGACAGTACTCTTTGCTACAAAAAAAAAAAAAGGTTTCTTGTTGCCTACCATGTATGAGGCCTGGATTCAAAGTCTAGCATCACAAGAAAGAGGAGGAAGAAGAAAAGGAGGAGGAAAAGGAGAGGGAGAGGGTGGGGGAGGGGGAGGAGGAGGAGGTTACCTTCTTAGGATGGAAGCAACATCTATGTTTCCTGAAATGAGTCATTTTTCTAAATAATAATAATAATAATAAAGAAAAAAACACACCTACTGCATTCAAGTTCTATATAGCTTACTGATAATTATAAGAAATGCTGACTGACATGGGTACACTTATATATATGCAATATACTCATACACATTTTAAAAAAAAAAAACACTTTGGGAGGCTGAGACAGGTAGATCCCTGGAGTTCACTGGCCAGCTAGTACAGAGACCCTGTCTCAAAAAACTAAGGTGGAGGGCAACTGAAGAAGATATCCAACATTGATGTCTGACATCCTACACACACACACACACACACACACACACACACACACACACACACTGGAAACATGATCCTAATGTAAATGTTTAATGGTGGAATATATACTTGGTCTTACTGTATCATATGGTATGCTGGATAGCTTCAGTTATCAACTTGACACACCTGGGTAGAGGGGAACCTCAACTGAGGAATTTCCTCCACTGGGTTGACCTGTGGTAATGTCTATGGGACCTTTTCTTGATTGTTAAGTGATGTGAAAGGACCCAGCCCATCATGGGTGGTGCCACCCCTGGGCAGGTCATTATGTATTGTATAAGAAGGTTAAGTACAGGGAGCAAGCTAGTAAGCAGCATTCCTCCATGGTCTGTGCTTCAGAAGCTCCTGCCTCCAGGTTCCTGTCCTGAGTTCCTGCCCTGACTTTCCTCAGTGATGAACTGTTACCTGGGATATGTGAAATAAAATAAGCCCTTTCCTCCTCAAGATGGCTTTGGTCAGTGTTTTTATTACAGCAACAGTGAGTAACTAGGACATATAGTATGTATAAGCAATTATCTGAGTGATAAGGGTTAAATAAAATTCTTGGGGACTAGAGAACTGGTGCAGGCATTAAAGACTCAGGTTCACAACCAAAAAGACAAGAGTTCGGTTCCCAGAGCACCCATGGTTATCTCTCCTGCTACGTTTAGCTGAGCATGGTGGTGCACGCCTTTAGTCCCAGCACTAGGGAGGCAGAGGCAGGCAGATCTTTGTGAGTTTGAAGCCAGCCTGGTCTATATAGTGAGTTCCAGGCCAGCTGGGGCTACAGGGAGACTTGTCTCAAAAAGACCAAATTAAAAAAAAAAATTCTTGGTAGCTCATTATAGTGACTGGCAAATATTAACTGAGCAGTTAGGGTGATCATAATCACTATAACAATCACTACTATTTATTATTTATTACATGTCAGGTGTCCAAAGCACATCTCATACATATTTGTCTTTTTTGATCCTTTCAAAAATCCTGTGAGAAGGTTACAATCCTGTTCATTTTGTATGAGGCAACAGAAGTTTAGTATAGACACAAAGTCCTATAGTCAGTCAGAAACAGAATTCAAACCCAGGTTCAGGCCATGTCAAAGTCCATCTTCTCACTCTTCTGTTACTGTCTAAGGCAGTGGGGGTACTGAGAGTTTAAGACTCTTGGAATGGAAGCAATTGCTGTTTCCTAAAATGAGCCATTTTCTAAATAAAAAAAAATCATACATACAACATTCAAGTTTCTTATATCCTACTAATAATTGTAAGAAACACTCTGGGGGACTAAGACAGGGAGATCCCTGGAGTTCACTGGCCAGCTAGTGTAGCTGAATCAGTAAGTGCCTTGTCCATCAAGGGACATGCATTTCTTAATGCATGTAGAATAAAAAGTAAATGATAATACAGGGGAGGATTGGTGGGTTAGTGCTGGATGGGTAGAAATGGGAGCTTCACCAATTAAGGACAGCTGGGGAAAATAGGAAGTGTTATCAGGAAGGTAGGTGTGGGTTGGGGGAAAGGCTGTGGGGTAATTACTCTGCCCAATCAGAGGCTGGCAATATAGACAGTATATGCAGGAAGCAACAAAAAAGTTCATTTTAACTGGTTCTCTAGGGCAACTGCAGGTGAAGTTGGGAGCTGGATAATGGATGGATTTCAGGGGATGGCAGTACCATGCAAGACACAACAGGTCTAGAGTAATGAGCCCTAGTACTAAGGTGGTGTCAATGGAAAACAGAAAGAAGAGAGCAGGGGAGAAACAAGATATGCTGTTATGACCTGGAGATGAATTACACATTCAGGAAGTCAGGAAGGATTGCAATGATGTAACCATAAGTGTCTAGGAAAGTGGGGGTGACAATAACAGAATAAGGAGTTACCTTGGGAGACATGAGGAGAATCTTGGTTCTAGTCTAAGTCATGTTTATGCAATCAGATATGAGTATATTCCAGTGACCGAGTTACTCTCCACTGAAAGGTGAGAAGCTGGCCCCTCCCTCCCTCCCTTCTTTTTTCAGACGGGATCTTGCTATTAAGCCTAGGCTGGCTTCAACTTGTAGCCATCCTCCAGGCTCATCTTCCTGAGTGCTGGGATTACAGGTAAAAGCCATCATGCCCAGTTTTGTTTTCTTTTAAAAAGGTTCAAAACTGGAATGCTGGGGTCTCCAGGAAAAGCAAATAAAATACAAAAGAATTTCACAGATGAAAATTTAACCACAACTATTTTTTCACACCCAGTCATAACCCAAATAATCACTAAACAGTTCTGTCTGCTTTAATGAATGGAATTAAATAGATTTTTGTTTTGACTAATTTTAATAGAGATGAACGATCACATATAAATTGAGGCTAGAAACTATGCTTTATATTCTATTTTTATTTAAGTATATAAAGACTTCTTATATGAAAGTTGTAACACTAAAATCAACAAATCACCTGTTTAAAAAAATAGTACTACCAAAACTAGAGATGAGTTTCTTATCTATAAATTTTTACAACAAACAGGAAAGAAAACAGAACAGTTGTGATGGGGGGTGACGGCATATGCCTACAGCCCCAACTACTCAAAAGGCTGAAAGACTGAAGCCGAAGAATCAGTTAAATCCAGGAGCCAGTCTGGACAACATGGTGAGATTTCATTTCTTTTTTTCTTTTTCTCTCTTTCCTTCTCTCTCTCTCTCTCTCTCTCTCTCTCTCTCTCTCTCTCTCTCTCTCTCCCTCTCTCTCTCTCGTAAGTGCGTTCCAGGCCAGCTGGCATGGAACTCGCTATGTAGACCAAGCTGGCCTTGAACTCAGATAGATCCGCCTGCCTCTGCCTCCTGGGTGCTGGGATTAAAGGCATGTGCCACCACACCTGGCCAGATTTGGTTATTTCTTAAATTGCTCTTAACATCCTTACACTGCTCTCTGTGTTGCGACATTTTCTTAACTGCTCAGTGAGAATATTATGGCCTAAGCTCTGAAGAATAGTTTTCCACTGTACAGTTGCAGAAACCCCACAGAAGTCTATAAATGTCCCTGCTGTATTTATGGGAACTTCTTCAAGAACTGCTGCTTTATGGCAGCTCTTTATAGAAGTTGGATTCATCTACAGGAAAACCTGATAGCCAGCAATAAGGATCATTCGAGTTTTTATAAGTAATAAGTACAACAATGGAATTCAAGTGCAA